ACGAAAGCCTCCCAAAAGAGGATGTCGGTCGAGCTTCCCGGGTCGACCAGAACGCGCTTCACATTATAGCCCATCACTATCGTCGAAATGACGATAGGATCATCCTCGTGAGGAGCTACCCCTTCTTAGTCGGCGTCCGAGAAGGAAATCGCAGGTTGAGGTGGTCGGCGTATTTCTGACACGGACAGGACAGAGCGGGTATACCTTTTCCGAGCAGCCGAGGTGACTCCTCCTCCTGCAAATCCTCCTGCCACTATGTTGAAATCCCCATGAATTGCTTGCTGATGGACCTCCGATGACTTTGTTGGAGTGTCCTTGGGGGGAGTTCTCTCTCTATGCATATCCCTCCTTGTGTCGTCCTATACACGCCTGTGTCGCCTATCCGATGAGCCTTCTTCTAGTTTTCTTGCCACAAACTTTTTCAGACGTCCCTCCTTGATCAAGCATTCGATCTGTCTTCCAAGGACGAAACAATTTTTCGTGGAATGCCCGTGAGTCCTCTGAAACTCACACCAATCGGTCTTGAAGGAACCCAACTGGCGCTCCGTCGCTGCTGGGAACTCGAATAGCGACGCACTGTTGACATCGTGAAGTATCTGCCTCCTAGGGACGTTGAGTGGAGTAAACTTCTCATCCTCGTTGGCTTGTGTCCACTCGCCCCTTGGCCGACTGCCATGATCGGCCTGTCGGTAATTGCTCTCCTTCATATTATAGCGATCACGTCGCTTATTCCAATCTAAACGTGGTCAAAGATATTTGTTGCTCTCCTTATTGCTACCCCCTGCCTCCTCTCGGTTTTCAGCAGCCCTTTTGTTAATTTGTCCTTCCTCCGTCTTGATGTGACTTAGGGCGAAAGCTCTCACTTCCGACATTGTTTGACAATTTGCTCTTTCGAGCGCGATGTCGAAAGCTCCAGACCTTAGACCCTTCTAGAACACAATGACAGCCATCCTTTCATCCAACGACGCTATCCTCAAGGCGACATCGTTGAACCTTTGCAGAAAGTCCTTCAACAACTCCTCGCGTTGCTGTTTGAGGTCGAACAAGTCCGACCTGATCGGCGGTTTCTTCTTGTTAGCAGCGAACTGTGCTATGAAAAGCCGACTAAAGACATCGAAGTCGGTGATTGATCGGTCAGGGAGACCACTAAACCAATCAAGTGTTGCCTTCTTGAGGGTGCCCATGAACAATTTGCAGCGGACTTCCATACTCCCTCCACAAATCAACATTTGAGCTCGGAAATCCGTCAAGTGTTGATTGGGATCCTGTGTTCCATCAAAAGGTTCCACCTGGGGGACCCGATGGTCTCTCAGGATGATCTCGGCCTCTATAGCCTCCGAGAAAGGTCGGAAATCCCTATGAACTTCCATCATGACATCTTCCTCCGCCGTTCGGGTGTTGGCCGTTATCATGGCCTGCATCTCATCCGCCCGCCTCCTGATCTCCTCGTTTTCTCGTTGAATGTTCTCCTCCCTTAAGCCATTGATCAATGCCATCATCTCCTCCATGGTAGGGTGCTGTGAGTCATTGTTATTGTTTGATGTGCCGCCTCTCGCCATGGTAAAATGCAAGTTCTTCTATATGACTTGGGGCGTAGGAAAAGTTTCACCGTAGCCCCACGGTGGGCGGCAAAATGTTCCGGCCAAAAGGTAGACTAGGGTTTCTTCTTAGGTTAAGCCTTTGAGCCAAAGCATTCAAAAGTGTAATATACCCTCTTAACTCTAGGGTTTTTAGTTTTATAGTTTCTTGTTTACGGGCTTCATGGGCCCCGAGAATATAGGGATTTCCTTAACCGTTCTAATCTGGAAAATATTTGGTGAGAGACAGTGGGACCTTGTCCTTACTATCGGACAGCCCCTTCATGCGAAGGTGGGATCAGCCATCGACCGACTAGCTTCCTATTAAGTGTTTAATCGGATAATGGCTGAGTAAATTCTTTTAGGCGAGTGAGGTCGGCATCTGACCGACGCCGCCTACCCAGTCGGATATATTACGAGTGAGTCTGAGAGAGTGAATCAGCCAGGCTGGTAGTCGGTTGGTAGGATGAGAAGGATCTAGGTCGGAAACCGACTGGGACGGTACAATATATATGAATAAATATTATGTTGCATATATAAATTATATTTAAAATTTGTATAAATAAATATTTTTAAATATATGAGTTGTATTCTAAATTTATGATAAATAATTTATATTATAATATAAATTATTTTTATTTATTAATAATTTATTTTATAATATTAATATTTAATTTATAAAAATTATGATAAATAAAAAATTGAATTAATTAAAAAAATTAAAGAAATTCATAAAAACTCTCTCAATTTTTTAAAATATTCTCACACTATGAATCTAAGATAGCGATATTTAATATAATAAATTCATAGATTGATGAGTTGGTTCGTTATCAAAACACATTTTGAATTTTACATTTTGATATCCATGTAAACTAACATTTGGTTCAGTCCACTTATTTGGGCGGTGAAACAAGTTATGAACACCTCAATAATTCCCATCAAGTTTTTCAGTAAAAACGTTTTATTTATTAATTTACTAATTATTACCCTTAACCAATTTAAATAATATGTATACATAAGTTATAACAGTTTAAAAATTTAAAAATTAAAGATATTTTACAGCATAAATTTTAAGAAACTATATTAACATCAAAATTATCATATGCATAACTGATAGTTTTAAGTTATTAAATTTAGAACTCGTACATAATATTATTTTTTTTAAAACTATTATGTAGTTGAGAATGCTTATAATGCTAAAAAAAAGCCTCCAAAATATATTAAATGAATGTTAACCACTAACAAGACAAAGTTAATCACTATCAACCATTTTAATCACTTCATGACAATATTAATCACTTGCAATATAATGTTAACTAGTTCTACATGTATAATTAATTATGTTTGATACTTGATAATTTCATGATATTATTAATCACTTGTGATCCAAAATTATCCATTTTTTTTAGATGACTTCGTGACACTATTAACCATGCATCAATAATTTTTTATACTCATTTGTTTATTTTTAACCTCTTATAAAGCAAAAATATCATGTTTATATATATAATTAAACCATATATGCTTCTAGATGGATGTGAAGTGTACAAAGTTTAAATGCATGATACTCTTTTTATAAGAGTAATGATATTTTCACATTCAAATATTTCAAACACTTTAATATCCATGTACATATATTCATGAAGTATTTTCCTTTTTCAATACAGATAACAGTATATATATAATAATTATATTTTTTTAATTATAATATTATTATTAAGTATCTATCATAAAAAATAATGAATAATTTCTGTTAGAGATCATAGACATATATAAGGTGGATATTTATCTTTTTATACTCAAAATAATTCAAATTTTAAATGATTTGATTAAAAAAATACAAAATGCTTAACACGACTATGAATATTGTATTATTTGTGAGGAAGTTTTGCTCCCATTTAATCTGTATGTTTCCATCACATAATCGAGGTTGCTTGAGAAGAATAGAAGAAGAAGAAGGTATAGTGTGGAAGTAATAAATGGTAAGATTGACATGTGATGCTGTGGTTGGAAAGGAGAAAAGAATCATAAATTAGAAGCAGATAGAGATGACAGAAGGGGAGACAACTGGGTTGGGGCCTGGGGGATTCATCACATTAATTAATATTGCTCGCTACCTACCTTCACGGCTCATCACTTCCAACGCCTTTACAACCTTTGCTTCTATAATTTCACATATTATTAGTTGACATTCCCCCTTCTTCGTTCTTCCATCCTTTCTATGGAATAAATGTACTCTACACCACATGATTTACTGTTAAAACAAATCAAATTTAATATAGTCAAAGAGTGCCACTCCTGAAGGAGCACCGCCACCTAATTGCAAACTATAGATATATTTCAAATTTTCTAAATTTTGATTAACAAAATAATTTAACCTGATTTTAGCAGTTCAATAATAAAAGTTTTCTTCAATAAGTTTATCAATTTATGAAATGTCGTACTCCAAGTAATATAATAACATTATCACATGACTCTGTAAAAAGATGTTCAAAAATTAAAACTGTATAAATAATGTGGTAGTAAATAGTAACCATCGTATTGTTTCAAACGTGTGCATTAATTTGAAGGATAAAACTGATGGTTTTTTTTAGGTGGTGTTTATTATTATAATGAACTGTCAACAATGTTAATTTTTTTTTATTTTGATATAAAGATAATTTTCTGTGGTTTAAGTTTAACCCTCGTCCTTCATAAAGTCGTACGAATGGTGAATTATTACGGACATTAACGTAAGACTGTCGGTATGGATCCAAAATCCAAATCCATTGCATCTTAGGGCATTTTATTTATGGTTTTATTTCTTATTTTTATTATTTGTTAATATTTCAATTAAAAATTATCACCTAATTTTAAAAATGTTATAGGATTGAATGCACATTTAGTCTATAAATTATCATAAAAATCAATCTTTAGTCTCTAATTAAAAATATTCTATTTTAGTTTAAATATATATAATTTTTGTTTTTTTTAGTTTCTATTCTCTATTTGTTATACGAACTAAACTAAAAAACAAAGTTTATACTTTAGATATTAAAAGGAACAAATACGACATATTTATATATATATATATAGAAATAAAAATAAAATATTTTAATTATAAAAAAATAAAATGTAAAGTTTATCAATCTATAAACAGTAATAATTATTTATTTTTTTAAAATAAGGTAATTTTATAATAAAAAACAAAAAATAAAAAGAACAAATAATTACGTTATGGGGTTTTATTTTTTAAGACAGTCAAATTCAATTATTTAGATACACCTTTGGGATACCCATTCACATGACTAAAATTTTTTCGCAAAGTAAATATTATATATTTTTAGTTTATTAAAAAATAAATAAAGGTGTTAGAGATGTTTTTGTCTTGTAATGAGTGTTAATGAAAGGAAACATTTTCCTTATGTTTTCCAGTTTTCCACACGGTTCTATAGCATTAATGAATACCGTACTTCCTTCATAGTTTCACTCTCATTTGAAAAAATGAATTTTCTTACAGCATTAAAGGTAGCAGTTGTGGGTTAGGACTCAGAAATGTGCGTCCATTAAGTGCTCATTCACTTTTTTCCTCACTTGCATTCAACTATTTAAAGTCTCCATAACATTCTGATGTCTCCAATCCATTTCTTTGTTTTTGGTTTTGCTTGGTAGTGGACTTCATGGACTTGCCGGAGAAGCTTTTCTTTGCAGCATTTCTCATTCTTTCAGTGGCCATTGATGGGACGCAGGCAGATACTATGGTCACTGGCACTGTCTTCTGTGACCAATGCAAAGACGGACAGAGATCCCTTTTCGATTATCCTGTTAATGGTGAGATCTAAGCCCTTCAACCTTTTTGTTCCTGTCCATTGTTGAAACTTCCAAGTAATGTACTCCAAATGCACCAAACATTCTGTGCTCCAGAATTGGATTATTCAATCTTTTTGAAGTATGCTTTGACAAATGTTTACACCTCACTTTTTGACACAATATAAATGGCGTTTAGTAGTTGCCTTCTACTTATGTGTTTATTTTAGTTTTTTCTTTAAAGAATAATCATTTTTTTGTCAAATTCTAAACAGCTTAGAAAAGGGTTATTTCCTTAAAAATATTTACAACGAAACATATGCGCATGTGCTTAGTCGTAAAAAAAAAAAAAAAAAAAAAAAAAATTT